TGCCGGTTCCATTGCCTCAGCGTGCTGTGATTCCCTGGCGCTTGCAAACTCTACGGCGACATGAGGAGCAAAGTGCTGAAGGTTGCCAGCTGGCTCGCGCACGCATCGGTTTGTTTGTCGGACAAACTCCCAAAATGGATGGGGAACCCCCTTAACTTTCCCTTTAACAGGTACCCTTAAGAATGGGACAAATGCCATCACAAGAAGCAACCATACAGCTATGTCAAGTAAACACGACAAGAGCAGAATGTCCCCCATCTCAAAGAATTAAAGCACCAAACTTTGTGTGAGACATGCTGCAGATGGCAGATGGCAATCCTGGTTCGACATGTTGAGTCTTGGACGTCGTGGTTTTGTGCTGATTGAACATGACTTCTTTGTGAGGTACGAAGCCCCCCTCCAAAACATAAAATTTACTGCTGGGCTTCCTGACATCAGAGGTTCAGCCGAGCACATGTCAATGGTCAGGCTCCACCGTTTGATTCCCCATGTTGGTTGAAAATGATGCCCCCCCCCCCCCCCGGCTCAACCTTTTCGCCGTTCAGGGCAGGAGAGAGTGCCTTGTGGTAACCTAAGTGAGAAGTGAGGCTGGGTTTCTAGGCACCCTGGGAAGGCTGTTCTCACTGCCCGAGTTCCTGCTCTATAGACTGTTTAGCAGGGCTCCTTAAAAGATACATTTTGCCCAATTGAACCATGGCTTTTTCGACCAATTACAGGGAAACCACCATTTACAAGGCAATGTTCAGGTATAATGTAAGGACCCTGTTTGGGAAGACCATTTTAGTGGTAAACAAAAAGCTCTGACTTTTTCTGGCCATTCTACTTAGGAAGTGAGTGGCCATTGACGCTTTCGATTCGCTTGCCTGACTGGGGGGGGGCTTTTGAAACATACCAAACACGCGACTAGTACTTTTCCCAACACAACTCCCCATGGCATTTTGCCCCAAGCTGCCAAAGGTTCAGACGTTTGCGGGGCCCCGAAACCAGTTTATGAAAGTCATGTTAGACGTACTCATGGATTCCCTTAAAGGAAACCAAATCGGATGGAAGGTTTATGGGAGTCATTCCCTCATTCCCTGCTGAGCACCAGAAAGTTTCTAGGTTCCCCAGTAGTGCCCTTGTAATTACCCTTTGTTCGGGAAGGTTCCCCTGCTAAAATAGACCACAGAAGAGAAAACGGTACCAACTTATTCTAACCTCAAACTACTGGAGGACCTAGGTTTAAGCCCTTGAAAGCCTCGCGTTTCCCGGCCGCGACTCGCGGAGGAGCTTGTCGCGGCCGAACTCCTGCCCTTCCTTGACGATCGATTCTCGGCATCGCTTACGCGCCCAACCGCCTCCCTGTCGGCTTGTTTTTTTTGTTGTAACTTGGTAATGTTGGCAATTGATTAATAAAGGGCCCCCCCCCCCCCCCCTGAACAATGGAGGCGCCAAAATAATGGGGGTGCACTTTTGGGACGTCCAAACAATGGAGGGTTTTGGGGCCCAATTCTACTTTAGTATTGCAGCCACTTCCTTTTTGCAGTTCTACTTTAGTATTGCAGCCACTTCCTTTTTGCAGTTCTACTTTAGTATTGCAGCCACTTCCTTTTTGCAATTCTACTTTAGTATTGCAGCCACTTCCTTTAGTATTGCAGCCACTTCTTTTTTGCAATTCTACTTTAGTATTGCAGCCACTTCCTTTTTGCAATTCTACTTTAGTATTGCAACCACTTCTTCCTGAGCAGACTTTTTGGAATACTACTTTAGTATTGCAACCACTTCTTCCTGAGCATACTTTTTGGAATACTACTTTAGTATTGCAACCACTTCCCTTTCAGTTCTTTCTGTAGCCATTCAAAGGAGTTTGCAGTTTCAGGGCTGGGGATGGTTTTCAACGTTTCTGAGGTACACAATCTTCAGCTTGTCGCTGAAGGAGATTCAGAGTTTGGGGGGGGGGATGGTTTTTTAATTAAATTTGCTTTGTGGAGTTTTTTTTTTGAATTTTCCCCCTGGCCAAAAAAACTTTCTATTATTCTGGTCCCCTTAAACAATCACATTATTGTGGTTCAGTGGGGTCTGTGAGGGGTACCCTTGTCCTGATTGTTTTTTTGCATTTTTTTTTAGCACGGTTTAATAAAGAGTTTGCAGTTTCAGGGCTGGGGATGGTTTTCAAATTTCTGAGGTACACAATCTTCAGCTTGTTGCTGAAGGAGATTCAGAGTTTGGGGGGGGGGATGGTTTTTTAATTAAATTTGCTTTGTGGAGTTTTTTTTTGAATTTTCCCCCTGGCCAAAAAAACTTTCTATTATTCTGGTCCCCTTAAACAATGGGTGTGAACCAGAATAAGGAAACAACTTTCTATTATTCCGGTTCCCTTTACTAATCGAATGCCAACATTAGGGGAGTCCAAGCAACTCAGGCTTGCCCGCTGCTGGGTTGGGGGGGGGGTCATGTGATAACTGTGTCTGGATTGTGCTAGAATTCGAACTTAGGATCTGGGCTTGCAACGAAGCACTCGTGATGAAGAACCTTCAGCTGGGGCCCCATCTAATTTTCAGAATGATCACTTTGTGGGCCGCGCTTTTTGATGGACGCGGGTCAATAGGCTCAGATGTGGTCCAGCTGATCTGCCATGGAAGTGAGGAAGCTTGCGCGCCGCTCTTCCTACGTGTTGCGTGGATTTGAAATGAAAACAGGCCGCTTGCCTGCGTTTTGAAGCTTGCCCACTCCCCTTCAAATTGACATGGACCCCATGAAGAGGAGGTTGCTCAAAAGCTGGTTTGTCGATCAGCAATTCACACCTTTACGGTTGCCTTCCTTGGGGTGTCCCTTTGGGTAAACCTTTATTGCTTCGGCTGTTTGATTCAGTTCTCAAGCTCATAGTCCAGTACGAAGGGGTAGGGAAGGCACAGCTTCCGTCTGAGGAGCCGTCTACATCCACCAGGCGCGATTCCGGGCTGGAGTATAGGCCCTATCAGAGAGCGTCAGAGAGGACCCTTGGAGAGGTCCTCACAGACCTCCAGATTTCGGACCTCAATATGGGCCCTTGGGAGGACTTCGAGTCTTGGGATCGAAGAATTGGCTTCCTTGAGCTTCTGTGTGGCTGAATGTCTACTCTGCAGATCAGGTCTTTGGAGACCTTGGCGGAGCCCTTGGCTGTTCGAAAGCGCGTGGCTGCACAGCCCGGCCAAAACACCCTCGTAGGCCCCTTTTTGTTGCGGTATTTTCCACAGGGGCATAGGGGTGTTCACAGACCTCAGTTGGTCATATCTTTGCACACGAAATTGGGTAGCCTTCCCCCTCATGAATGTAAACAGAGTCGCCTCCCCGAAAAAAGACACCCATATGGGCGATTGTAGCGACCCAGACCAAGCGGGGCTTTTCTAGTTTTTCCCCCCTGCCCCCCTTGGCTGTTTCTTGGTGCTCAAGCTCATCAGGTCACCTTGGTGGCTTGGATTGTTTGTTTGGATTTGGATTGAAACCCCGCTAAAAAAAAAACGAACCACCAAACCACCAAACCACCGCTGGCAGGCAGATCCAGCACTTGCGGAAGGTGAACGGGGGTCTCTTCAGCGATGCCCCGTCGTGGCAGCGGGACACCGCCACTGCGCCACTGCTGCCCTCGAGGCGACTGAGTGAGTCACTTGCGTCTTGCGAATCGCATGCGATCGATTGGATAGGCAGGGAATCACACCTAGCATTCCTTCAGTGGCTTGGTAGGGAATCCCATGCCGGTTCATTCCCACCGTTGATTCCCCGAGAACCAGCTTAAGTAAGGCATACAGATATCCTTCAACCCAGGTGTTCAGATCACAGCCTGGCCTAGGAACTCTTCCCCGCTTGTCGCGAGACTTGCTGCCAAGCATTTCCCCGCGCATTCCAGGTTCATCGAGTGTTTTCTGGGTTTTGTGTGTCTTTTTACCGGCTCCCCCAAAGCGGCTTCGGTTGTCCTGGTTTGATACCGACAAAAGGGTACCAACGCAAAAGAAGACATGCATATCATATATATACACATATTACATATATATATATATACACATACATATTGCATACATATATATATATATTTATATGTATATATATATATATATATCAACAAGTTGTTCCTAAAACCGTGCCATCGGCAACCATTTGGCCGCAGGCATCGGTGCCTGTCACGGTCCATTTGGTCCAACGCCGTGGGCTGCTATGAGATGTTCCCGGAGGTCTCGGAGGCTCCTCCCCGCTTTTGGGTGTTTGTTGCCTGGAACCTTCGACTTGTTTGGGAGACTCTCTTTTTCCCCTAGTCAAGAACCAGCAACTTTTTGCAGAGGGGGCAATAGCCACCAAGATTGCATATCGATCCTTGTGAAAGTGGCTTGGTTCGGGGAATCAGGGGTATGCAGACGGGGGAAAGTACGACCACCCTTTTCGATGATTTTGCTTTGCCTCAGATACATGAGGGACCCGTGCAACTGCTTTGCTTCCTCGATATTGTTTGAGCCTGCAGTTTGGCGAAGAGCCCCATTTGCTTTTTTGGGGGGTTTTAAAGGCTTGACAAAGCAGACGCACCACGCCCTCCCAGTTTTGTCCTGAGCTTTGTCCGGGTGTGGGCGTCTCCAGTAGCTATCATGCTTCATTCGCATACGAGAACTAGTCCCCTCGTTTCTCGCGTGTGTGTTGTGTTTATGTTTTTGCTTGCTTGTGTCCTTGCCTGCTTGCTTGCTTGCTTGCTTGCTTGCTTGCTTGCTTGCTTGCTTGCTTGCTTGCTTGCTTGCTTGCTTGCTTGCTTGCTTGCTTGCTTGCGTGCGTTGTTGCTTGATGTGTGTTTGTTTGTTTGTTTGTTTGTTTGTTTGTGTGTTTTTGTGTTTGTTTGTTTGTTTGTGGTTGTGTGCTTGTTTGCTTGATTTTGTTTGCTTTTGTCTGTTTTGCTTGTTTGCTTGCCCGCCTGCTTGCTTGCGTGCGCTCTTTCTTGCGTGCGTGCGTGCTCGCTCGCTCGCTCGCTTGCTCGCTTGCTTGCTTGCTTATGTGTTTGTTTGTGCATGTGATTGGCTGCAAGTGTGCGTGTGGGTTTATTTGATCTGAGCTGTAGTGATGGATTGTTGTGGTTTCCTTCCGGTTTGCCTGGCTTGCTGCTTGACCGCGTGTTGTTGCGTTTTGATTAGTTGGCTTCTCTCAAGGCGATCGCGTTGGTTTGGGAGTTAGCCAACTTATTTGTTTGTTTGTGTGTTCATCTGTCTCTGTGTGTGTGTGTGTTTGCTTGCTTGTTTGCTTGTTTGCGTGCGTTTGTGTGCGAGTTGTGCTGTGTTGTGTTGGGTTGCCCCGCTGTGTTGCGTTACATCGTGTTGTGGTATATACCTGCTAGTTCCATTGGTTGTTGGTTGGTTGGCTGGCTAGATGGTTAGCTGGCTGGCTAGTTGGGTGGTTGGTTGGAAGCATAACTGTCCGCCACGCAAACAACCCAACCCTTGGTATGTCAGCAAGAACCCGTAATCTTTGCGTCTTTTGACTGATCAGAAGCAACGAACCAAAGCTCCCTATCGTCCCACCACAAGAAATTCCCTTTGGCTCTGCCAAGCGATTGCGCCCCGTCCAGGCGGTCGGATCTTAGTTCGCACGAAGCAATGTATGCTGGAGAGCATGTTTTTGTCAGGCTCTTGGACATGTAGATGCGGGACCATGACTTTCGAGATTTGAAGATTTCGTTGCAAAGAGGCGAGTTCACACTTAGGCCATGTTCAACTCAAACTCGACGTGCTCGACGTGCCCGAGGTGTCTGATTGATGTCCCCCAAAATGGGGGGATCTCTTTGGGTCAGGCTTTTGAAGACAAGTTAGCGAGCGTAAAAGGAAGCCGGCTATGTTCCAGGGTCATTTTGGGAAGCACAGATTTCCGGACTTCTGGCAAAAGTCAGCCCTGGAAATCCACGACTGTTTTTTAAACGTCCTTTGCACCTCGCCTGTTTCTTGCAGCTAAAGCCTGTTTTTTGCGCCTGCAATGAGCCATGGCGTGGTATTTGATGGATTATTCATGCTGTTGCCACGTTTAGATTCTACAAAGCCTGTTCCACCCCAACATGTCTTTGACACAACAACTTTGGTGTGAACATAGCGGTCCGTGATGTACGCAAAAGTAGCGTGAAATCACCGTGAACATACCGTGAAATTGGCGTGAAAGCCTGTTTTCCAGCGTGAAAGCACATTTTCTGCCGTGAATTTTGACACCGGTGAATCTATGTGTTTCAGCCTGTCCTTTGGTAATCCCTCTGCTTGTTTTGTGGGAACGGAGGTCAAGTCTTTGCACACTTTGGTCCTGAGCACGTGCGGCCCCCGAATTGTTCAATGATATCAGCTGAGCTTGGACAAAACTGCTCCTGGCAAAAAACCGCCTTTCACAGAAAACATGCGAAATAAACCGCCTTTGGAACCCCAGGGTCAGGAGCAACTCCATCTGGCCAGCCCTCCATCCATCCGTCCGCCCTGACCATCCATCCAGGCAAATATAAGCATGCTTCGTACAATGTGTGCGGAAACACGGGAAACAACACATGCCAACTAAGTGAAGCCTATGCCTGAAGGCTCCCCGTTGGTAACGCGTGCCCGTTTATCTTCTGACTCCACCAAAGCGAGGAAAAGGAAGTGCAACCCCGAGATGCAGAGATGGCCTTGTTTTGGCAAATGTAACTCATCAACTCATCAACCCCATACACCAAGGCACAAAGCCTTGCGTAACTGACCCAAGCTGCGCTTGTTGACACGGAAGGTGGAACCTGGAAGTTCCGTGGTTCCTCATGCGTGTGCCTGCTACGGCTTGTCCCTTGTACGATTGCTCGCTGCATGAAAAGTATGACAAGGATGTGTTTGCCAGGCACGGATGTGGACACGTTGGGGGGGGGGGGGGGCTTATAACAGTAACGAGACACGACGTGGCTAGAACTAGGCATGAAACAGAACATAATCACGAAGGCAATCGCGCACTCCACCTGGAGTTTGTGGCCACCTCGCCTTACTACCCATGCACCGAGCAGGTTTTGCAGAGTGAGTGGCAAGTGGGAAGGCGTCCTGGGTCCAAAGACACGACGTGCATCTCGGCCATAGGCCCCCATTCATGGTTGTTGGTAGGAAACATTATACATTTTTGCTTTTTGTGGTTTAGTCGGAAACCCCCACTTAACTGCTAAAAAGAATGTTGCTCTCTTGCCACCGTCAACCAAGCATTGCCAGGCGAAGTCGAGTTACGTGGATCACAAGCCGCTGCCTGGCAGCAGGGAAGCGTCGCGCGGCTTCGGGCGGGCTCGTGGCCTGCAATGAATGGGGAGCAGCCTGGAACTGGTCGTTTTCGGGGACGAGAGACCAAGGCCGACTTTGACTTTGAGTCACGTGTGATGTCGGACGTTCTCGATTTCTCTTCTGAGTTGTCATTTGCACAGTAAGCTCGTGTCCTTCTTGGTCTGGGGCCAGCATTCAGGCAGACTTTTGAGCGCTGAGGAAACGCTTCGGACCGGCCAAGTGCTTCGTGAGTCATCCAGACGCTTTCAGCATCCACCGGGAGGAAAGCTTCAAGTTGCAGCCTCGGCGAATGAGCCATTTCGCCTGGGTCAGGGTTGTCTTATAGAATGGGTGTAACTCACTTCCCGTTCATGGACGTTTTTGGGCCTTCCACTCGGGAAGCGAGATATAATATGCTTAATTTATGTAAAGTGCAGCAAAAGGGTTGTCCCAACATATATGTCATGGGTGGGGAAACGGGTTCCCCTAACGAAGCCGGTGTGGGCTGGGTTTCCGTCAGGGTGCCGGGCCTGTTTCAATATGAGGGGACCCAAGCATGAGCGCTTTCCTGATGTTTTTTCCGCGTAAAACCAGGGCACCAAAAAAGGACATACAAGATTGCCTTTACATTCCTATTTGTCATTTCTCGGTTTCGGGGGGTGGGGGGGTGAGGCCAGACACCTCCATAGATTCATGACACCAGGCATGGCTGTTTTGCCCGCGGGCCTGCCAAAAGGAAAACCTTCATTTTGGGGTCCCCCCTATCAACGCAGATCATTTCTGATGGTAGCGCCGAGGTTTGGCAACAAGCAGATGATGCGAATGGGCGCCCGCCCGAACGCGCCGTCTGAGAAAGCTGCGCATGGCTGACAGAGGAAATTTCCAATGCCGTCTTTCGGGTCCGAATTTTGCTTATCCATTGGGTGGTTTCCACTATTCCCAAACCGTCCCCAGGTGTTCTATGGGATATACAACTATTATATAAGGCAAGGTTACATTCCCCGTGGGGAGTAGTGGAAACAAATCTTAGATGGCCAACCTTCTTCCCATCTAATGGTTTGGTAGAACCTAGTATATATCTGATTGGTTGTGCGCTCAGTAGTGTTTTCGCGGAGGCCAACTCTCCAACAGCCCAGCCAGATTTCCCTTCTTTGTTGAACCCATTCGGAGTCTCCATGATCCTTAAAAATTGAAAAAGGGCCCGGCCATGACCCCTTTTTTGGGGTAGCGACCCCATTTGTCGAGGTGATTTTTTGCGTTCGGGGGAAGGTTGGGCCAACCTTGTCATGATCAACCACCGATGCTGTTTAATCGTTTCAAAACAGAAAGGGTTCCACTTCACTCCCTCTATATGGAGTTAATAAAGGTTCCAGGACCCATGGAAGTGGAACCCTCTATATGGGCGCCGACCTTGCAGGGTTTTTGAACCTTTACATTAAACAGATGTACAGCCACTAGAGGTCTCAGGAAGTCTTTGTGAGCCAAAGACGAGCAACCTTTCTCTGGAGCTGCGCAGAACGCGACCTTGCGTTATTAACAATAACTCAACATGTCTGAAAAAAATCGGGTCCAAAGAAGCACAAGCTTCTTCCATGAAGGGAGACAGAAGAAAACAAGACTTGCAACCGTATTTTTCCGTGGGTGGTCGTTGTCAAATTAAATTAAATTAAGATTGCACCAACATAGCACCAGGAGATTCCTCTAATGGCCCTCGAACAGGTACCCAGACCAATGTGTTTGTTTGCCTCTTTGAACATCACCAGCGTGCATTCAATTTGACATGGAAAGGAGCGTCACTCGCTTGACGCAAGGCCAACCATTTGGAAAGCCCCTTCACTGCTGACGCGAGTGTTCTTTGCTTTTTCGGTTCTGTTCATGTGGGAGTGTCTTTTTTGAGGGTACCCCTTTTCTATGAATTTCAGGAGAAACCAACAGGACAACCACCATTTTGGGGGGCCCCTAAAAGGCACCCCCCATGTGCAGGGACTGCAAAGAATACCGTTCAAGGTGGCTGGGAAGACCTCCCAACTAACCTCGCCTGCAAAGCACGGCGAGAGCTTAGCTATGCCCCGCAGTTTGCGGCGGAAAATCGGGCGATCAGTCGGTCGTTCGGCGAAAATAGTTATCCCCACTTTGGTCGGGTGTCCATTTGGGGGGGGCATGACGCGACTCTCTAAAGGTCCCAAACAAGGAACACTGGTTCTGACCGTGGCTAGCATATCTTGTTTTGGAGTCAGAGAAGACGGCATAGCAACCTATCGATGAGTATTTGGCATCGCTGGGGTTTAGTTGCATATTTCACAACTATTGTTTACCTAAGGATTGAATTGTCATCATCCCAAATCTGGTGCTGGTCATTCTTTTGATGGGGGTTGAACCCTCGTGGAACCATAAGGACTTAAGGCTGTGGCTGCCCGATGACTCTTGGAGTCAGGGATCCTTAGGGCGCTGGGAACATGAAAGGAACACCTGCGAAGCTTCCGACAATATTGTGCGACTTCTCCAAATGCAAAGGTTACGCTTTGACACCCACACGATTTGCCGTATGTGTGTGCGTGCGCTTTTTTGGAGGGAACCCTTTCCAGCTTGGTTCAAGGGGAAAATGTGAGAACAAGCAATCACCTATTTGCGGGTGATCCCCCATTCTGACACATGTCCATTTGCAACTGTGGAGGGACGAACTCCTGCACCACTTTGAAACACTGGTTGAAACCCTTGTTTGTTGGTATTTACAGGGGAATCATCATTCTAGGGTGTTGTAAGGTGGTGCGAAATGGATATCGTCCATCTATTTGCTATGTTTGTTTTTTCAAAGTTCTTTTTAACGTCCTGGTTCATTTGATACTCATTTTGGGCGTCCTTTTTCCATACGAATTACAGTTTTTGTCTCCATGGTCGTGCCTGAAAAAGGATGTAGGCGGTGCCTTTTTGGAGACCGGGCTTGTGGAAGGTCTAAAAGACAACATTCTCTCTTCCGGTCCTCAGGAGCAAAACACATGGGGCGTGTCTTTTCAAAGTTGGTTTTGAAGGGCGGGCAAAGGGAAACCAACCGCTTTCAGGGGCCCGTTGCTATTTGAAGACACACCCGTTGTTAGGTCTGAAAGGCAAAACCGCTTTGGTTTCAGCTGCAAAACGGCAAGTGAGAACCTGCCGCATGCCATCCATCCTCCAGACCATCCTGGCGTAAGGAAACATGGTCATATTCCTGGCAAAGGGCACCCGAGATATTTTCCCCCCCACCAGCCACCCTTCCAGCACCAATGAACTCCCCGGGGTTTCCCACAAAGTATTGGGAGCGATTTGCCAGTGGGCAACATCCGATCTGTAAACACCTCAATTCTACAACATATTGCTTTCTTCCGCAACTTTTTGGTATTCACAAATTCACCCTGATTTTAAATTTCCTTGGGCTGACTTTGGACACATTCAAGGGCGGAGTAAGCCAGGCGAAGCGCTGCAAAGACGTGCCCGGCAGCTCGGAGCTTTCGAATTCGCGTTTGTCGTACCACGCATGGGGTCGCTGGCCGTTCCTCGTGGTGCTGCTGTCGTGCTGGAAGTAGTTGACGTTCTTTGCAAGTTCAAATTGTGAGCTTGGTTGTGTTTGTTTCTTCGGTTCTTGCTAGTTTTGCCGGTTTGAGGTTCCTTGCCTTTGTTTGCTTGATATCACAAACGAAAGCACTATGTATTGCTGTTCCTATACGCCACAAAGTTGGTTTGCGCGGCGTCCAATGTCCTTCTGGTGCCACTTCAGCAAGCAACCAAGTTTGATCCTCCGATTTTGAGACATTCGCATTTGACATAGTTGATGGTCATCTGATGGCCAGTTTCATAGTTGGAGCCAAGTGTGTGTGTGTGTGTGTGTCCTGTTGTTTGAACTGCTGTCCCCAACAAAAACAACAGAATGAGTGCCCTAAAACACGAGCACCCAATTGCTCAATGCACCCGTGGTTGTGTGTGCGAATTCTCGTTATGCCAAATGTTAGCCTTGCAAGGGAATGCACTATGTCACAAGGTAGAGTCAACTAGGGTTGAACTTAAACCACTTTGGTCAAGTTCGCAACCGACTACTTCAAAGGCATCGTTTTGGCTCGGTGATATGGTACATCTATCAGGGGCACGAAGTGATGCATCAAGTCCTGGTGCTTGATTGTTTTTTAGAGAGAACAACATGAGTTGAACCTTTCCGAATTGGGGCGAGAATGGCTGCCCCTTTGGGGGGAAGCCCCCGAAAACCAGAAAACCGCGGGCTTCTTTCATTACGCGTTTTAACATTTGGTATTGGCGCAAGTCTGTTGGTCAGAAGCGAAGGCACAAGTGGTGGTCCTCCCTATCCGGGCACATTTGAGGCACAAGCGCACGGATTTCCTGACGGGCGTCGAGTCTCCGCCCTCCGCCGTTGCTTTGATCCTGGAGGCGGTTCTGTCCAAATATGGGGTGTGGAACCCACGAAGGGAATTAAGACCTCTTGGTCTAGGTCCCCCAGTAGTGCCTTTCTCTTCCTTTTTTTTGGGGGAGGGTTCCCCTACTAAAATAGACATCGGGTACCCTTATTCTAACCTCAAACTACTGGAGGACCTCTTGGCGGTCCCTTGTCGCCTGGTGGGTTTTTTTCAACAGCTGATCGCTATGAGGCTCTTCCCAGCTCCGCTCCGGAGTGGTCCTGAAGGGTTCCGGATGGGGGCTGCTGCAACTGATTAGAGTCACAGGGTTTTGGTTTGAAGGCGATTGACAGGCTATCCAAGCTTCCAGCATAGAGAACCAACATTTCTTGCGGGGTCCATATCACAACCTAGAAGGACATGCCCATGGCCATTCATGATGTTTGAAACTCTACTACCCTGGCACAGAGGGTTTGTCCTCTCCTGGAATTGTTGCTCTGCAAATGTCTAGTTTTCTGGGGTTCCATGTTAAGGTAGGGGAGCAGCCTCCAGAAGAATTGCAGACTTTAGGTTTCTCCAGAGTCTGGTTCCCCAGTATGTAGGTTAAGCTTGTGAGAAAGCCGGGTTTGGGCTCGATTTTGCCGGAGGTACTCCACGCTTTGTGAGGCTTTCCTCATAAACCCAAAACACTACCAAGCGGGTTACTTAAAAGTTTCAGAAGATTGCACTAAAACCAAGCCACTGCCAACAGAAACATGGGTTATGGCGCCACTATGTTCGGGCACGTGATCCATTGAGTAGGTTATCACCATGAATAGAAGTCAACCAACCCGTGGTGTCTCACTAACCCTAGTCATAACCAGCTTAAGTAGATGGCGCAGTTAAGTTAGGGCTAGTGAGAAAGCTAGGTACATCTTTAGTTACAGGGTAAGCTCATGTTTTCAAACTTTGCTAGGGGTTTTGCGCCAGGAATATTTGTCTTAGTCCCTGGAGAAAGGGGAATTGGCTCCTGGGCCACGAACCGCCGTTTGGTAGTCGGGTATGCCTTCTAATCGGGGTCTTGGATTTTATATTGTACACATATATATATATACATACATATGCATATAGGGTTCCACATGTCTCTTTTTGTGCATCGCGTATTTTACACAACCCAACTGAGGCTTTTCAGGCTCCGCGTCCTTGGCTCGGCGTCTCTGGTGCCGTAACGCCCATCGCCGGGCTCGCTCTTGTCCCGCTCGCTTCAGCAGCGGCTCGTCAGGTGGACAAGGCGGGGGAGGTTCAGGGCGAGATGACGCTCACGGTACTGGTGAAGTCCGGTCGCCTGATCCAGGGCCAGCCCGGGGCCTCAAGGCGTTGCCCGAAGTTCGGAAGAAATGTGGGGGTGTGTGTCGAAACATGGGGGGGTCCTCTATATGGAGCTTGACACTTGCTAATAGTTTGTCTCCTATAGTTATGACTAACATTAGCTATTGTTAAGTACCTCACAACCCCAGTCAAAATATTTAGGCCTTTATGCTTGGTTGGTTTCCTTTTGGATCTTCTTGAACTGCTA